CTAATTAAAAAGAGTGAAAAGAAAGAAAGAATATGGGTGTAAGAAAGGAAGAAAGAAAGAAAATAACAACCAGAAAAATTGTAGAGGAAAAAATGATAGAACCAGAAGAAAGGAAAAAAAACCATGAATGAATTATTTTTTATGGCTTTTTATGGCTTTGTATGTTATTTAACGCTGATAAATAGTTTTGTCTATAAGAACAACCCTTTTTTATTCCTAGTTAATATTGTCATAACAATTTGAGGACAAAGAAGATTGTTCCTGATATGTGTTCGAGTTCTAGTCGAGTTCGTTAATTTCATTTACACTTGGAAACGCTTTCTCTCCCCAGCTAAGGGTTACATAGTAGAACTTGTATCTGTAAAAATCATTGTTATTCTAAAAAATGTGTTACCGCAATATTCATTCGAAAAAATATTATTCATACAAAGAAAATATGTTTTGACTTTAAGTAACCCTCAAAGGGTTGATAAGCCGTAAAAAAAGAAAATCAATCCAATACATTAATAACGTTTCATGTTCCTTCCTCATAAACGCTAGTATATTATCTCCAAACATTGGGCAACCACAAAATGACAGCCACAATTTATTAACCAATGTCTATATCTATCTCGTACATCAGCGATATGTTTTGGTTTGTTAGCTCAGATGACAAATGGTTTAGATATTTTATTAGTTATCACAGTTGAATTGCATCAACTGTTCGATGATTTTGTATTTGATTATAAAGTTGCGAAACTGTCAATATATATTGCGTGTTCAAAATACTAGTAGACAATAATAAGGTATATTATAATGTCTAGAGTAAACAAGATACAATTGAAAACAAGAGATATTTTATGTCGATTGGATTTTAATTATCGTCCTTTCCAAGTTACACATAATCTTTCTCAAACAAGGAGCAAATTCCATCAAGAATTGTTCAAAGTTCATTTTGAAAAAAAAAAGTAAAAGTAATATATAACATTTCTTCCGAAATGAACTTTAGAGAATTCTTGACGGAATTAACTCCAATATTTGAGGTGGATTTTTCGTAATTTAGAAAAGTCAATAATTAAAATTAATCGACATGAAATATCTGTTGGTTTCAATAGTATTTGCCTTAAAAAAACATTTGTTCCGTAAAGATGCGGAATAATTAAGGTGGCTTAATCGAATAAGTCAATATAATCGGGAAATTTCATTGTTATTCTCAAAGAATACTTACTGCAATTTTCACTCGCACAAAGATTAATTATTTTTGCTTTCTAAAATATGATCCGGCTTTAAATAACCCCAAAAGTGTTGATAAGTCGTAAAAAAGAAATCAATCAATCAATCTTATATATTCCAGGAAGTTTAACTGTCTCTTTTTGATTGTGTCTCTTTTGCTTCCTTTTTTCTTAAATCTTTCTCATTACTCACATGTTCAGTCTATGGTATTCCGAACATCTTTGCGAGAATAAACACTAATAAAGCTACTAATTAGGAAATTAATAAAACTATTTGAAAAAAACAAACAAACAAATAATAATAATAAAGCATCGCTTGACATTGAGCTTAAAATTTGAAAATAGCTTTCATTGTCTCCAAATTCAATAACAAGTTTCTTTATTGCCTGAAAGAAGTCAAGAATCAGAAGTTGAGTTTATTTCGTAAACAGAAAGGTAATCCTCAAGACCGTCATATAATACAGAGATATCTCAAATGGATCCATCATTGTGAAAGGAATAAAGAGTTTTATGAAAGGAACCCCATAGAGAAACATTTCGAAACTCAAGAGTATCACTATGCGGAAATTAGAGCCCTCAGTTTATCTTTTCCTAGACTATAGCCAGCGTACTTACAAGCACAGATATGTCGAGATAGCCACTGACCATTTAAGCATTCCATACCACATCCCAAACGAATCTACTAATAGAAGACAACAATCCTGGTTTTACTCTCGAAGTCAATGTACAGATGATGATAGGGGATATAAGAATAATTTTGAATATAAAATTAAGATCCACTGTTACAATAAATAGGACTCAATATAAACCTTACAAAAAAGAAATTATGATCTGGAATTGGAATGAAAGCGGTCATGACACATAGCCCGAATTCATCATAAAAAAATCAGGATATGGAATTAGTAAATACTAAACACTTCAGGTACCTCGGCGTATGGATCAGCTATAACATATTTGTTAGAATTTTGGGGTACACTGATGTACTAGTGAGCCAGTCAAAATGAGCTGACTCTTTTTATAGTTCACCAATAGAAGGGTTAACCAATCAGAAAGATCAAAATATTCAATCCGATGTGTATAAAGGCAGCCATTTTGTTTTTTCTCCCCAAAATATCTTCACTGCCAACCTCTGATATCGAAGACTTAAAGAATTACTTAACAGCCGCTACTTTCTCCGAATCTTCACTGCCAACCTCTAATATTGAACACATTACGGACTTCTCTGGATTCCATATTCAGAGACTACGGCAAACATGGTCAACAATATTAACTATTGGAGAAATGTAAATCGCATATAGAACATACTGTGTCAGAGGTAGTGTCACACAATACCGCAAATTGCTACAAAACCAAAACATCAAACCGAAAACTCGAGTCATATACTTAAATAGCCTCGCCATATGAAGACTTTCATATAAATATTGTGCCAAACCCGTTCAACATTATCTAAACTGTTAGTTGTATACAACAGGTTCCTAACATCAAGAGGGGGGGGGGAAATAATTCGGTGAAAAGATCTATTTTTAGTAACACTTTTCAGTTTTCCTCCTCAAGCCAAATTATGGATGATGGTCGGCGTCATGTCTATACAGATGACATAAGTATTCATTGTTAGATTAAGAATGATCTTGCGAAAAAGTCAGTCATTTACCAAGTGTTCCATGAAATAGGATTCAAGATAAACATTTCCAAGACAGAAACTATGATCTGGAATTGGAATGAAAGCAATGAAGGCACCCATCCTGAATCCATCATAAAAATTTAGGATGTGGAATTAGTAAATACTAAACACTTCCGGCGTCTGGATTAGTTATAACAAACTTACTATATGATAAAAGGCAATTGAAGATAGAATACACTGCGCCAGAGGTAGTTTTGTCCAAGACAACAACCTGACAACTCGAGTTATGTTCTTAAACTGGTTCGTCAGATCGAAAATTTAATATTGATCTCTTGAATGGCTCTAAATCTGTTCAGTAATAATTCTTTCTAAGATCAATTGTTAAAAATGACTTTGAGCGAGTGACATGTGAGGGTCTTGACAAAGACCTCCTTCTTTGATGATTGTAGATTGGCGTTACACATTCGCAATCAAAGAACTGTACTAAATAAGACAAACCGCGTTACTTGAGGATCGCCAACAGCAGCAACAACTAAAATGGTAAACACATATAACTCGAAGAGAAAATATGGAAATAATCAAGATGTTGATATATTACACCACTTAAAATAAAAGGTTTAGGAAGGAAATCCCAGTCAATACTGCAAAGAGCGATAACAGCTACTGGATCTGAAAAACATATTTGTTTTGAAAATTTATTTTAAAAGAAAGATTTTATAAATTTCAACCGATAACATGACTGTACTGCTTGCTCGGTCAATGAATGTCAAATGTTTCCTTGTAAAGAAGCAGTCAATATTAGCATTTCCATTCTGTAGAATCATATCTCTGTCGCCGGTAGTCTGCTCTTCATGTGTAAAGAAAATTGTCCTGTATTCACTGCCATATATTAGGATTGATATTACATGCCAGTTCAGCACTATTTTCTTTGATTCTAACATAAATTTTCCTCGTTATATCTTTACTTAGCTTCTGGGGGGCATCTTTATACTTTCCAATCCGACTTCGGATTTCGGTGTCATATTTTCCGTCTTCTATTAAAACACTTCCCAGATATATAAAATGCTGTCATCGCTAATTTATAATTTGATTTGGTCTGATTTCTTTAACGGCATATCAACTCCATATAGTTCATTGAATACCGAAATTTAATTTTCTTGGGAGTTTTGAAGTAATTTGGTAATGTTACTATAAATATAAACGGTTGCTATTTTTTTAATATAAAAATGCATTGCTTGTATTTTTATTACGTTTCATAGTGTTTTGACTTTGTGGGTTCACCATTTTACTCTAGCTGGAGCCCTAACAGGTGATACTACCTCGGGTCAGGGTGAACCTGGGAGCAGCAGGAATTAAGAGGTGGTTCGACGCTCCTAAAAACCTCCCAATCTGTAGTTTCTCGATGAAGTTCATCGTCATACCCAGGACTCGCTAATTTATAGCTCGCGCCTTAGGTTATTCGTCTGGTTGTTCCATTGATATTGCATTTAAAATTTTTGAATAACAATGTTGACTTGGAAAGAAGAACCCGGAAAAGCAATGCACCACCTAGAAGTGAGCTATAAAGAATCTTTTAGTATAGAACTTACGGTTACATCTAGACTTTTCAGCCGTAAAATGATGATACCATCCTGCCAATCTAGTACTGCACTTAAATTTACAAAGTCTAGGTACCATAAAGGAAAGTGACATTTATTTTTGAAAATGCAAAAAATGTGACACGGGGCCAAATGAGTCGGGTGAGAAAAATTATCTTCATCTGTCTTATATTTAAATTTAATTAGCTACAATCATTGACCCAAACATACCGTAGTGTTCCTGATATGAATAATCAAGACTGGTCTCCTCTTGTTTTGTTACTCTCCTCTCTGTGAGAGCTATTTCTGTTTACTGGGACTATAAAAAGACACTATACGCGAACCTTGTATTCTTAGTTGAATAGAGCTTTATTAAAGCCAACACCTGCGTACTTTTGGCATTACAATATAATTTTCTTTGGACTCTGAGCTTGAATTCTGGACGATTGTTTTCGCTTCAATATCATGTTCTTAGTTCTTTCTTTTTTTTATTCCTCATTTTTCTTTGGGTATTGGTTTGTTCAGCTACAAGCCGAAATACCTAAGGTTTTTCCAAGCGAGTACTATATATATATATATATATATATTATG